GGTGACAAGCATTTTAAATCTTTGTCTATTTAGATATTCGATTACTAGAAAACGCTTAACACAGGCGTCTCGATTTTTTCTAAATACTCGTACAAATATATTTTACCGATCGAAACACAATTAAAAAAAATAAATTAATTAAATGTCATACAAACATAGAAAGATTCGTACCGTATAATTTCATCCACGTGTAGAAATGAGGCAAGATGGTCGGAAAAATATCGTGTGACGATAAATCGACCGGTTTTTTGGAGCTCTGCATTTTCTTGATACTCATGAGCTCTTTTGTGGAGCCATGCAAGAACTTGTAAGAGGGGCCTTTGATGCCTTGGGACCCAAGTTTGTGTTGGATATGGAGTGGGGCCCACCACAATTTGTAAGCAAGGGCTAAAAGGATTGAGGAGAGTATTATTGCTAGGAAAGCATAGATTATTATTATTGCTAAAGGGGCTATCATGGTGTTGTTTGTAAAAATATTTTTCTATAGCAAGAATTAATGTGGTTTTCTTTAAGTTGAGGATGATTTTTGGTGTCTATATATATAATGGTAGATGAAAATGGTGGAAATTACGTGCGGGGGAAGTTAAAGGATGATGAGAAGTTCAAATGGACTTTGGTTGTTGGATGTTTCATTCTATTGTTGTCGGTAAAATTTTGAAATAGATACATTATAAGCTATTTTCTTGGTTGGTCAAACCTTTTTTAATTGAATATGGAGTAGAGGAGCCACTTCTCCATAGACTATAGTCACGTGTTTAGTATTACTTTTATTTATTTATTTTAAAACTTTGCCTATATTTGTCAATGGGAAGTTGACTTGGTAAATGCTGATTATCTTGTAAAGCAAGTCCAGGATTTTCTTGAATAGTTTTTGAGGCTAATGTTGCTTTGAGCTTGCCTTTTCAAGAAGAAGATCAACTTAGCTTTGTAAGCTGTTCCTTATACGTAAAGGATTTCAAAGTATGATTGGAGGTATATACATTTGAATTTAGACGTGGCCACCAGCGGGCTGGCCAGCCCGTTGATTCGGGATTTGGGTAGTCAAAAATATTTTGAACTTTGAATTTCAAACTATACTAGTATGTTTCTTGNTTCATATAAATGGATATTTATACATATATACAACATTCTTTGTCTTTGTGGTGTGTTTACAAATTAATATTTAAAATTGTTTTCTATTTGTATTTGCGGCCTTTAACATAGCAACATAACTTACCATGAGTAAATACAGGATTATTCAGTTATAAATCAATATGTTAAGAATATTGTCCTTTGTTCTTGTAAATCGTCATGGCATATGAACCCATCAAAATAAATTATCGCCTTTGGAACTTGAAAGGTACACATGACTCGATGTAAACTCTTTGTAAATATAATAGCCATATCACAACTGTGTGAACGTTAATGCTCTGCATTCTGCACTACAACACTTGACCATAACACAATAAATTTGTCAAGCTTAATAGTCAAAATCAAACATGTATATTTGTCATTACGAAACACAAATTTATGTCAAAAAAATTTACGAAGCATACTAGTTTGCTACATAGGCTCAAGTCATTCGAAAACTATGTATAAGGACGCATTCTCATCATTTGAC